GTAAAGATTCAGAAGATGTTATATAGAAATGCAGTTTCATATAATGCACTTAACATACAGAAATGGTACTAAAAAATAAGATGTTCTGATAGTAAAGATTCAGAAGATGTTATATAGAAATGCAGTTTCATATAATGCACTTAACATACAGAAATGGTACTAAAAAATAAGATGTTCTGATAGTAAAGATTCAGAAGATGTTATATAGAAATGCTGTTTCATATAATGCACTTAACATACAGAAATGGTACTAAAAAATAAGATGTTCTAATAGTAAAGATTCAGAAGATGTTATATAGAAATGGTGTTTCATATAATGCACTTAACATACAGAAATGGAACTAAAATAATATATTCTCACAGCAAAGTTTGAAAGTTTTTCGATATAAATACTGTTTGATATAATGTATTTAACATACAGAAATGGTACTAAAATAATATATTCTCACAGCAAAGTTTGAGAAGTTTTTCGATATAAATACTGTTTGATATAATGTACTTAACATACAGAAATGGTACTAAAATAATATATTCTCACAGCAAAGTTTGAGAAGTTTTTCGATATAAATGCTGTTTGATATAATGTACTTAACATATAGAAATAGTACAAAAAATCAGATGGTTTATTGTTAAACACCTAGAAGTTTTTCTATAATCCTGATATACTCGCTAAATAATAAAAAAAACAGACTCTCTCCCTCTCAACAGGATATTATGTCTTGAAATCTTGGCCAGTTTGTCTTTATTAATCACCAAAACATTTACTAGAATAACTGAGAGAATATATTTTTAAAATTGTCAGATTTTACAAATGAAGAATTGTGCATTTATTGAGAAACGTTGATATTGTGTCACCCAGATTGGAAACAACAGATACCTCACTAAGATTTAACATTGAAATCTTGGCCAGTTTGTCTTCATTAATCACCACAACATTTAGTAGAATAACTGAGAGAAAATATTTTTAAAATTGTCAGATTCTACAAATGAAGAATTGTGCATTTATTGAGAAACGTTGAATACTGAATTATTTTTCTTATTAATGACAAAACAACTTTGCTCGGAAGTTTTGATGGATAATTCGATTGTAGCTCAAAATATCTAACTATACAATTATTTTTGATGTTTTTTCCCGCCTTTACCTCATGTCACATATCATACAACGTTACTTTACTGCCATATTACTTGGTATTACAATGTTTTTTTGTTTCTTTAGCGTGCGCGTGTAAAATGTGTGGACTATGATTGGTGTGCTATCGTTTCTGTAGCGTGCGTGTGTAAAATGTCTGAACTGTGATTGGTGTGGTTTTGTTTCTGTAGCGTGCATGTGTGGACAGTGATCGGTGTGCTTTTGTTTCTGTACCGTGCGTGTGTAAAATGTGTGAGCAGTGATCGATGTGCTTTCGTTTCTGTAGCGTGCGTGTGTAAAATGTGTGGACTATGATTGGTGTGCTTTCGTTTCTGTAGCATATCTGTGTAAAATGTGTGAACTAAGATAGGTGTGCTGTACTCCATCATAATGCGTTAACGAGGCTTTTTTATCCCCAAATTATCCATTTCAAAGTAATGGTAGGTAATTTTAGTAAATTTATATGCCTAGTTCGACCGTCTTATGCCTCCTACTTTCTCTAGTTATCAAAATTGCTCTTTGAAATGAGTAATAATTATATATATATATATATTGTTCGTATAACAACGTTGTGTAACTTATTTTTATTGGTCAATCGAGAAGCGAATTTGCATTGCATAGTTACAAGTAGTGTAAAAGATCGTTAATACGTGGAATTCTTTAGTTAACTTTTAGTCCCCACTGCATAGTTACAAGTAGTGTAAAAGATCGTTAACACGTGGAATTCTTTAGTTAACTTTTAGTCCCCACTGCATAGTTACAAGTAGTGTAAAAGATCGTTAACACGTGGAATTCTTTAGTTAACTTTTAGTCCCCATCATTGCACTGCATAGTTACAAATAGTGTAAAAGATCGTTAACACGTGGAATTCTTTAGTTAACTTTTAGTCCCCACTGCATAGTTACAAGTAGTGTAAAAGATCGTTAACACGTGGAATTCTTTAGTTAACTTTTAGTCCCCATCATTGTGAACGGAACACGTTATGGAACAATATTTCATTGTTGAAGTGAGTGATATGTATAGTTAACTGACTGGTTTTGACCCCTAGTAACAATTAGTCAACATTATGGAAGATCTTTCGTTTTTAAATAGAGTAGAACCAGCGTTACTTAGTCTTCTGTGTAAAATTAGTTAATAATTAGCCCTAAACTTCAGATAGTTTTTATGTAACTCGAGAGTTTTTGGGGCTGCAATGGCTTTCTCAATGTATAAATTACAAGAGATAAGGCCCCCTGGTGGCTCAGCGTCATGTCTAACGACTTCTAACGCAAAGAATCAAGTTTCTATACTCGTGGTGGGCACAGCACAGATAGATCATTGTAAAGCTTCGCGCTTAACAACAAACAAAAAAATATCCAAGAGATGAATCATGGTTCAAATGTAGTTGTGACCCCCTTGAGTTCTTTCTTCTTAACGGACAGTCCCCTCACTGAACATGCTCGCTCTTTCAGCCATGGGGACATTATAATGTTACGGCTACTCCCACTTTTTATTATTTAAGAGTAGCTCAAGAGTTTGCAGTTGGTGGTCTTGACTAGCTGCCTTCCCTCCAGTTGGGACAGCTCGCGCAAACAGCCCTCGATTAACTTTGCGCGAAGTTCGAGGCACACCAATCACAGTTCACACATTTTACACACGCACGCTACAGAAACGATAGCACACCAATCATAGCCCACACATTTTACACACGCACGCTAAAGAAACAAAAGCACACCAATCACAGTTCACACATTTTACACACGCACGCTAGAGAAACGAAAGCATACCGATCACTGTTCACCACATGCACGCTACAGAAACAAAACCATACCAATCACAATTCAGACATTTTGCACACACACGCTACAGAAACAAAAGCACACCAATCACAATTCACACATTTTACACACGCACGCTACAGAAACGAAAGCACACCGATCACTGTTCACACATGCACTCTACAGAAAAAACCACACCAATCATAGTTCACACATTTTACACATGCACGCTACAGAAGCAAAAGCACACCAATCATAGTTCACACATTTTACACATGCACGCTACAGAAGCAAAAGCACACCGATCACTGTTCACACATGCATGCTACAGAAACAAAAGCACACCAGTCACAGTTTACACACGCACGCTAAAGAAACAAAAGCACACCAATCACAGTTCACACATTTTACACACGGACGCTATAGAAACGAAAGCATACCGATCACTGTTCACACATGCACGTTACAGAAACAAAAGCACACCAATCACAGTTTACACATGCACGTTACAGAAACGAAATCACACCAATCACAGTTCACACATTTTACACACGGACGCTACAGAAACGAAATCACACCAATCACAGTTCACACATTTTACACACGCACGCTA